GTCTTTCTACGTCTTATGTTAAAGTCCAGTGGAGAAGTGACAACTCGTTTCTATAAGGAGTCGCATAGATGTGAGCTACNGACTGAAATTGTATTTCATTTCTGATTTAAATATTAAAGATGGATCAGAAAAGGTCAATATGTAATTTGTATTTTAACATTTAATCAATTGAAATTTATAAAAGTGTGATGCGTTTTAGTTTCATTTTCAAATTCACAGAATTATTTCTTTACTGTGTACAGCATTAGAGACCGTCCGATGATTCAATGACTACTTTAGACCTAGAGTATAATTTACCTAGCAACAAACCAACAGCACATACTGTACGTATAACTTCATTTCTGAACGACTTAAAAATATTACTCCGAAGGCTTTTGTTCTTGAAACATATTTAAGACAAAGTGTTCCTAAAGGGTTTTGGATTTCTTGCCACCATTTGCAATGTAAATCATTTCCTTTATTCTACACCTTCTCTTGGAATATATGTAATGTTCTACAGTGACATTGTCTACACTTGTGTCACTGTGCGAGGCAGAGATACTAACACATTCAACACATGAAATGCCTGTGATTGCTTGGTTTCATAACAAAATAACCATAAGTGAAATGTGAGTTATTTTTGTTTTAGGTACATTATTTCAACAATATAAACGTTCGGTTGGAGCGTTGCATATGCACATTCATTTAAATGTTGTGTTAATTACATCCAAAAGTAATGAAAGGTTTCAATTGGAGGCGAACTAGGAAAATACTTGAAATCGTGACTTCTGATTAAAGCCCCCATTATGACGAATTATGAAGCTGGAACGGCAACTACTACTGAAACTGGCACATGAACAATGCCTATCCCCACCACATCTAACACATCAGACTGGTGAAACCAAGTGGCTGCACCAGTGATGTGTAAAAACCTGTCATTTATATTTGAAACTTGGAAGTGGATAAACATCTTATACGCACTGTATATGTTAAAATGTGACATCTAATTTAACAGTTCAAGATCCACTTGCCAGTTGTCTCTTTTCCATTTCCATGCGATTATCTCTCTGTCTGTCTGTCCTCCCAGTTGGTTTGTCCTTCTCTTTAAAAACACACTTCTGCTCCCCAGTGGTGTCAAGGTCAAAGATTGAAAGGCACACAATGGGGAGCAGCCAGACACAGAAGGACACCAGGAAGTGATTCACAGCGTGTCACATGCCTTCAAACCTTACTCCTCTTTCATCCGCTCACTGTCAGCCAAATCCACGCTTCACATCTTCTCTGTGCTGCTCCTTCAGCCCAGATTATTAGATGTGATAAAGAATGTTATTAAAGCCTGTGTTGGCTGAAAGGAAAATGAATATTGGACTCCAAGGCTGCTTTTCCAAACACCTGAAGACCTGCAGCCATGTTTAAAATGAATGGCGTTCTTTATTGTTTTCTCTTCCAGTGTGGACGAAGAATAATAAAATCCTAAAAGCTGCTGTTTTCTAAAACTCAATAAATAGACAGAAACGTATTATCCGGTGACCATACTTTTCATTTAATGCCAAATCTGAGATAAAAAGGTTCCGAGTGTGGCTGCAATTAAATAACGGAGGGATGCAGCGATAACATTTTGAATAATGAATAATCTTTCGACTAACTGCATTATTCTGCAGAGTTAATGGGTTTGAAACTCTACATCATAATTATATTTAGTACAATGAATACAGTGATGCAGGCCAGACCACACTGTTCTGGTTGAAGATTATATTGGAGTGTCGTTAGATGAGTTCATCCCTGTCTGTGAAAGATTGACTTCAGCGTGCCGTGAGGTGCATCAGACAACTTGAAGAGGACAGTCATCTCACATTTCCTCTCAGAAATGTCAGCCAGGTCCCAGAGACATAAGGTTTTGTTTCCTAGATTAACAAAACTGTTTTATTGCTGATTACTCTAATTCATATCTTTTTGATTTATTATATAAATATGAGTCTATCAACCCTCATTGTAATAATGCTAAGCAATATTTTGACAACACAAATGTTATCATGAAATAGCTTGTATCGTCCGTCAAACAGTCCAAAGCCTTATTTATTATTCACTCAGAGAAAAGCAGAAAATCCTCTCTTCTAATAATAAGTTAAAGCCATCGATGTTACACATTTTAAATTATGAATCAATGTTTACAATAATGGCTAATTCCTCGTTAGTCGGGTAAATGCTTGATTCAATAATAATGTAATCAACACTTTGATTTGATAATGTTGTAAAAAAAAAAATGTTTTCTCACATACTTGGTCATGTGGTCATACATTGCAAATAAATCACAAGTGTAAATAAGACATTGAATCATATTACAACTGTAACAGTGAATGAATTCTGTAAAGCCTAACACTCAACAAGAATGTGTCATCTATTTCTCAAATCATACACGTGTGAGATTTCTGTCTTTTCAGCGGTGAGACTGCTGCAGCAACACGTTTAACAACAGCACCTTTATAAGCATCGTCTGACAGCACACAGGATCAGCTGTTGTTGACGATTAGCATAATTCGGAGACAAATTGTCCTCAAGCGAGCAGGAAAAAACAACAACCCATGAGATCATAATATGTACCGTTAAGAGTAAAAGAGTGCCAGACAGGGTCAAACGGCAGATCAATTATTTGTCATTTCCTCCTTCCGCTCCACTCTGATCTCTCCATGTTCCAAAGTGGTGATGTTTTTCGGGGATGAGCACAGTGCTGTCCACAACAGTCAACAACAATCTGGGCGCTTGTGATGATGTGGAGGCAGCGCCATAAGGAACATTTCTCACAAGTGAGATCTCCAGGTCGGTCTGACTCAGGACAGAGCATCAGTCAGCTGCCTGCTCCACTGCAGGCCATTCCACAGGAAGTCAACGCCATATATGGCTCAAACAGACTATTGTGTCTTTATCTACATGCTCCTACTGTGCTATGTTTCCAAGGCAACCAAGACGAGTCAGTCTGTTTTCCCTCCTCTGTCTCAATCTCTGTCTTCCTCTCTCTGACACACACACACACACACACACACACACACACACACACACACACACACACACACACACACACACACACACACACACACCTTGCTTCAGCCAGTGAGATCAGATAGCATATGACTCACTCTCATAACCTTTTTCCCAAAGTTTGAAAGCCAACAGCATCCAGAACTTTCTGTTCTCCCTAGCTGTTTCTCTCCTCAAATTGTTTTTCCTCTGCATCAGCTTTTCCTCCAAAGCTCGACACAAAAAATATTAACAAATGTTGTTTTTATGCTGAAACGATGCATGGTGTCTGTGCATGGTTTAACAGCAGGTGGAATGAATTTTCTCTCAGGAGGTTTCTGTATGTTGCATCACCCATCCAATCATCCCCAACCCAAAAAGTCTCTGTGCTCTCAAAATTCCCAAATCATCACAGAAAGGATGAAAAGTCAAGTGTGCTGCAGATAGCAAGAAGTTTTACTCACAGCCAAAATTCAAGCTGCTGCTGTGCAATCAGGAAAATCACCGAAACCTCACAGACTGAACGACACACACACACACACACACACACACACACACACACACACACACACACACACACACACACACACACACACACACACACACACACACACACACTTTCACTCGAGTCCTCTTTTGTGCTCCGCTGTTGCATCAAAAGGGCTGTTTTGGCTTTTACAAGACATTCATAAAGCAATGTTATCAGGCACAAACAGTCCAGCAGGTAGCAGCTCTCACCATTTTATTATATTTCATTAGTATGTCAGGTGAAGAACGGCTGGTGGGGAGCTGCAGGATTGAGTCACCAACCCCCTTCCCTCTTCTATCCCTCTCATCTCCTCTCCCCCTGTATTTCTTTACCTCTCTAGTTCACATTTCCCTGTTTCTCCACTCCCGTATGAAATCATTTTCATTTGAATTAATATTCAGCAGGCGACGAGACACAGCTCACACACACAGTAAACACAGCCAGACACTCGGCAGAGCTCAGTTATCATTGCAGTGTTTATTCATACAGTGTTCATTTGCTGTGACGCTGATTAATTAATGAGCTAGAAAATACAACCACAAGGGGAAGCATTAGCATACAAAACTACTCCCAACTGTGTCCATCAGGCCTGACACACACACACCTCTCAAACACGCAGATGAAAGGATACTTAAAGGACAACGACGCCATGCCAAATGACATTTAGAGGATGAGATGAGTAGAAGAACCAAACACTTACGGGATGCAGGGGACTTGCTGCGCTGTGTTTGGACGGCGAGCTTGGGGGAGCCTCGGTTCAGAGTGGCAGACATCTTCCCATAGGTCACAGTCTTCATCACACGACACTCTGAAAGCACAAAGAGAAGACCGATATAGTTCAGAAACCACAGAAAACATTTATTTATTAGTCTACTCAAATAATCTAAATTTCCTATACGTTTTATGAAAGTCTTCAATTCCAGGAACTAGTTTACCCAAACAAGTGAAGGAAGAGTTTTGTGCCACACAACTTAAACCCTGCTGAAAATCCTAATTTTCACAGTTTTCCAAAAAACTATTGATAGAATATTTTTGATTGATTTCAACCTTAAGTCCTGCAAGAAAAGCACAAAAACACTTAATGTACCAAAACAGCTGTAATTGGTTTTACCTTCAGGTCCCCAGCACAAATGAGTTCTGACCTTCACTGGGCTTGCTTTCCAAACGCAATTATTGTGGTGTTTCAGGAGTGACAGCCTGACTCACAAAGGTCTGGTATTTTACACACACACACATCCTGACAAATGAGCCATGCAATGGTACTCACACAACCTCCCTGCCTCCTTCATCCCCAAAACTTTGCTACTCTGCTGCTCATTAACCCAACCCCATTATAACTCATTACCAAGACCAGAGGGAAAGGGAAATGATACATACTGCCTGGTGTATGTGTATGTGTATGTGTATGTGTGTGTGTGTGTGTGTGTGTGTGTGTGTGCGTGCGTGCGTAAAATTTGCTTGCATGGCAGTCGTTGTGGCCCAGTGATTAATGTACAATGCGGTGTGTTAACATGATGACAGTGTGCCAGGGCTGAGGCAGAGGCGATAATTATATGGTGATGCTGAGAGGAGGCGAAGTGGTGTGCAGCTCTGACTCCGACTGTCTGCTGTGTGTGTCGCTGTGATTTCCCGCCTGACTATTCGGCATCATGCCCTTTGCCTTTAGCTCAGAGTTGTCAAATTGGCTCTATAGCTTCTCGACATATTGCATATGTGTGTTTTCTTGTACCTGTACATAATGAGGACCATAACATATTTTTAACCAACATAGTGAGACCCCACATGGATAAGCTATTACATTAGGGTTAAGGTTAGCTTAGCCTTTGGTGGGGGATTTAGAAGATACGTTGAGGTTAAAGGAAGCTTCCAGTTAACCAAGGTAGTTATTTAAGTCTATAAAATTGTAAAGATTTGACAAAGCCAAAACAAATGGATTTTTTTGGAGAGAACATTTAAATATATGGAGTCCAGCTGGGAAGAGACCAAGGGGTAGACCTAGGACCAGGTGGAGGGATTATATGTCTTCGCTGGCCTGGGAGCGCCTTGGGATCCCCCAGCTGGTTGATGTGGCCAGGGAAAGGAACGTTTGGGGCTCTCTGCTGGAACTGCTACCTCCCCGACCCGACCACGGATAAGCGGGAGAAGATGGATGGATGGATGTATGGAGACTACGTTTTTAAGTATGTGGATCATGGCCAGCATCATGACACATTACTACTAAATACTCTCATGCCCTTTGTGATAACACAAAAAGAGCATGGTCATATCAGATCTCTCCAGATAAAAAAAAAATGCCTCACAACTTTGAATTACTCACGGAGAAACATGCATGTTAGCCTTAAGAAAACAGGTCGGTGCTAACTCGCTACATCTTACCTCTGAACTACCTACTTCAAGTTACTTTTAATAATTGAACATAAAACTTGTTTTAGTAGCTGCACTGCTATATTGAGCCTTGAGAACTGTTTTGGGAGTTTAAACAAAGCTTTAGCCTCAAGCTAAAATACGGAGCAAAGAAGAGAAGGTTATGTTACAAAAAGAAACTAATGGAAGCAGCTAGCCATTATATTTTGCAAATGAAAGCAGAGAAGTGGGGAAGAGGGCTGGGAAAAAATGAAAGAGAGACAAAAGGGGGAAGGTGGGCAGCCCAGGTGGGATGGATATTAGTTAATGGATGAAGGGAGACAGAGAGACACACATTGACTGAATACAACCTTTAAACAAAAGCCAGTGCTCATAGAAGAGAGGGAGAGGGATGAGAGGATGGGAATATAAATGAGCACTAAATAGCAGGAGTCTCCAGACAGAAGAGAGGAGGGACAGGGAGACACAGATGGGTGAAGTGAGGACAGAGAGGGTCCTCAGCAAACCTTGGTGGAGCGACAGGAAGAGAAAATGAAGATGAACAATGAGGTTAGACGATGGGTACTGTGCCACTGAAAAGATAAGTCGAGGAGTACAAAGAGCAATACAGAAACATAATAGTTTTTTCACCTTAAACTTGGGAGAGTATGGAAGATTTAAAATGCCTTAATAACAGAAAGTAGGACATTGAATTGGACTGGACAGAGTTCATCCCTGTCTTCTTAAAATGATGTTCCCATAACACAGAATTATGTATTGAAGGGAACAGTATTTACAGTCATAGTTTTAAATGCTAACTTTGTGAATTCAAACAAGACTAAATAACTAATTGCAGGCATAGGCAAGAAAACACTTACATTCAGTAAATGAGTATGGTACATAACGTACAGACGAGACAAGAAATTATTGGGGACACGAACAGTAGTCACCTCTATGTATCTGTCTTGCTCTGTTGGACAATTTTTTAAATGTGAAATCTTTGCCCACTGCACTGAACTATATAGCAATGTAAAACTACCCATTCGACACTAATTATTCCCATTTGGAACTGTTTAAACAACAGCATAATGTATCAAAACACTATTTTATCACAGTGTGATTGCACTAAATGATTAATAGCTCAAACCTATAAAATAGGACATAAAAAAACATTTTGTTAACAATTAGAAAACACAGCTGGGGCGTGAAGGAATGTAATGAGAGGAACACACTTAAAAATCTAAAGTGAAACGTCAGCATAAAAAGTCAGACGTCAAACTGGTTCCCTCACCACTTTCATCCAACATCAAGTCCTCTTGGTAGCGATACTTCTCTGGTCCACAGGCAACAAAAACGTCCTCATCGCCAAAGAAGTCTTGCAAACACGTCACCTGGAGACAAAGACATTTATCTACTGTTATTATCATTTATTTGTACGATAATACATTTTCAGGTCAATTGAACGGCAGCCAAGAGCAATGCCATCTTTCTATCATTAACTATACAATAACTTATTGCCGAGGGAAAGCAGCTGCTCTACAGATGTACGAATGCCAACTCTCCAAGTCCCACGCTTAACGTCCTTAACTTCTAGTATACTGACACATACACACTGTAAAGAAGACACTCACACAGCCCAGAGCTCAGCACTACGCACGCACACAAAATAAGATTTCATGTGCTTACGTGAAACAGCACGTGGACTGAGCCCCATCACGGATGAGGAACAACATGGGAGTCTGTTTGTGCCTGCTTGTTGTTGTTTGCACGTTGGCGTCTGTTATCATATGTGCGCATGTCTCACATGTCCCTGAGCTCCTGTGCTCTGATGTTTCTTCCTGTAATCAGTCTTATCAGCGACTTTAATGAGACCTCGCTGACTCGCTTATTTACTGATTGGCTAGCACCGGATATTCAGAGCAAACAAATGTGGGGGGGGGG